CTTAGGACAGAGCCTTGGAATGCACCTGGAATTAGGGAATGTGACCTAGATGATGATCCAGTGAAGGAGACTGAAGAATGGTCTAACAGGTTATAGGAGAACTAGGAGAGAAAGCAGATCTAATGCCTCTTCCACTTAACAATCACTCATTTCTCACCTGGCTGCACAACACTAGGACTTCTCTGAGTTCTCCCTCATACCTCAGGAAGCTCTCACAACCCACTCCCACCCTGGATTTTTCAGCTTTCTTTTGTATGTTATCTTCCCCATTGGATTGTAAACTCTTTGAGGGCAGGGACTGTCCTTTTTTTCCCCCTATATTTATATCCACAGCACTAAACACAGTATCTGGCACATAGTAGGTGCTTGATGAATGCTTATTGACTGACTCTTTGAAGATAACTATCATGTTCTCAACTGAGTCTTCTTTTCTTCAGGATAAACAACCTCAGTTCCCTCAACTAATTCTTATATGTTATAGACTCAAGGCCATCCCAATTGTTGTTCTTTCCAACTTATTAGTGTCCTTCCTAAAATGTGGCACCCAGAACTGAACACTACTCCACTATTCCTGCCTGACCAAGGCAGAGGACAGAGGAGCTATTCTCTCCTTATTTCTGGAAGCTATGCCTCTTTTTTTGGATGTCATATTTTATTACTAAATTATTTTTGACCTATTCTGCCCTATAGGAAAATAGAAGGGGAAGGGCGGTGACATAGCAGGGAAAGCAGACTAGGGGAAGGGGTATTCAGAATGCATGCCATCCTGGGGTGGAGGGAGGGGCGAGATGGGGTGAAAATTTGGAACTCAAAATCTTGTGGAAGTAAATGTTGAAAACTAAAAATAAATAAATAAATGGAAAAAATGCACAAAAAAATTATTTTTGAGTTTGCAGCCCACTAAAACCCTCAGATCTTTTTTTAGGGAGACAGCTATACACATTTCTCCCAAAATTATATTTGTGAAATTGATTTTTTAGTAATATTTCATTACATTCACATGCAATACCTTGCACAGATATTCCCTAATCATTGGGCACATCCTTTGTTTCCATTTTTTTGGTAATGACGAAGCTATTATGAGTAATTTTTTTTGTATAGATGAATCTTCTTGGGGGTAGTCCTAGAGTGTGATCTATGTATCAAAGAGATGAACAGTTTAATAACTTTTCTAGCATATTCCAAATTGTTTTCCAGATGAGTTGAGTCAATTCTTAGCTCTGCTAGCAGTAAAACAGCACATCTGTCTTTCCATAGCCTCTCTAATAATGAATTTTCTCATGTTTTCCTATATTTGTTAATTTGATGGTTATGAGGTAATAGTGATTGTAATTTGCATTTTTATTAGTGATTTTGAACAATTTTTCAAATGGTTATTAATAATTTGTATTTCTTCTTTTGAGAACATTTTGATCATGTACCAAACCAACTTGTATATTTGTGTATTAGAGAATTGCTCTTCGTCTTTCAGATGTGTGTCAATTTTGGGTGTCTGACCTTTATTAGAGATATTTAATTTGAAAATTTTTTTCATGTTGATAGCTTTTCTTTTGCATTAATTTTATTTGTGTAAAAGCCTTTATATATATATATATATATATATACACACACACACACACACACACATATATATATATAGTGATAAATACCTTCTTTCCTACCTGTTTTCTTAGTCCAAGTTTTCTAATATATTATTTAACTTTTCTTCTCTGATGGTATGATTTCAAGTCTATTTTTAGGATCTCGGTAAATTATATTTTATTATGATGATACATCAGAAGAAGTTAGTTCTCGAGAGTAGATTTAAACTTATATTCCCCTCTGCCAGGCTTTGCAAGCAAGTGTCACTTGTCCCATTTTCTCTGGGGTGAAGGTCTCCCTGTGGGTGGAGATGTGGGGAGATTGGAGACTATTTAGACTTTTATAACTTCCCTTATTTAATCAATAAGTGAGCTAGTTATGACTGGCAGTGCTTGAAGGACCCATGTATTGGGATGGGCGGTTGGGGTTTCATTAAAACTCAAAATGCAGCTGCTGCTCCTAAGCCAGAGAAAATTCAAGAGTTTTCTCTTGTTTCTGAAGGGAAGTGGATTATGTTTTTTCTTTTCTTTTCTTTTCTTTTTTTTTTTTTGTGAGGCAATTGGGGTTAAGTGACTTGCCCAGAGTCACACAGCTAGTAAGTGTTGTGTCTGAGACTGGATTTGAACTCGGGTCCTCCTGACTCCAGGGCCAGTGCTCTATCCACTGCACCACCTAGCTACCCTGATCATGTTTTTTCTAAACTGCCAAATTCAAAGGGAGCAGGGTCAATCCTTTGCAGATGTCCTTAGGAATACAGGGAAACCCCTTTACAAAGCTGATGTCAGTGACAGGATTAAGGTTATAGGCTAACTGTGCATTTATATGTTTATGATTTGATCAATATTATTTATCAAAACCAATGTAACAGTGAACTGTATTGTATTGAAATTCTTTTGAATTAGAGACATCACTTAATTCAATTAGTGCTCCAGGTTTGACATTCCCAGAAGAAATAGCATTTTCAGTGGTGGACCTGGAAGGTGGGGTCATTAAAAGGTCAGGAGCCCACATTAACATAATGTTGAATTATTAGTAGTTCAGTTTCCCTGAATTAATAGTTTACATTACAAGTATTTGAAGATCCGTTTTGCTTAAGGACAAGAGAATAGATAAAACTCTTGAGGGTTTTGCATTGAGATTTGAGGGAAGATGCATCATTCTTATTGTGAGAGACCAGGCAGTTTATCTAGTAGCATCCCTAAAAAAGGAACTGCCAAGTACTTGTTGCTAGAGGGCAGTTGTGCATGAAACTATCAGCAGACCACCAGGTGACTCTACACTTGCTCTTAAGCCTATTAGATCCCAATTGATTTTTCTTTTAAATGATTTGAGCTCCTGCTACTTTTAGGGTCTACTCTGTAAAGAACATCAGTACTGCCCAGTAAATGATGCAGCTCCCTTGCTTCAGAAACCTTAATGTATTTTGAAGCGTTGCATGAAATCCTGGCAGGTAAATTTTTCCCAAGAGAGAAATGGAGGAGATCGGGTGTTAGGTCATATCCAGTCAGCAGAGGATACCATGGAAGACAGGAAGGATCTGTCCTTTTGCTAGTTCCCCATCTCCTTCACTGGGATCTACACTGTAGATTTCAAAAGTTTTCCTCCCAATCAGTTGCCACCAGAATGATCCCCTTTCCTAACAGGGGAGGATATCACAATTGACATTAGGAGCTTAACTGATATCAGCATTTTGCTGGTCTTTTACACTGGGGAAGCCTCACTCAAGAAACTAAAGATATACAGTTCCCTAAATCTGGATAGAGAGATTTTCTTTTCTCTTTCTTTTGTTCTTTGAAAAAAATTAATATTGCTTAGAATGTGACTGAATGTTTTTTGATATGAAATGAACGGTACATTTGGAAAGACTGAAACTGGGAGTTATCATCTTCTAACGGGTTGGATTACTGAAGGTGTTGATATTGACTATTGAACCACCTCAGATCGCTCTTCTTTTTTTTTTTTTTTTAAAGAATCTGTTGTTTATTGTGCACCCAAAATGGCAGGACTGGAGAAGACATTAAGATGTCATCTAGACTTTCCTGCTGCTTCCACTCAAGTGTAGTTTTAGCCTAACTTTTTGAATAGCTATCTGATTTCATGGTACAGGTAGAAAAAATGCTTGAGGACCTGGGATCAGATCCCGACTCTGCTACTTACTGTCTGTGTGGCCTTGGGTAAGTCTCTTAACTACTCTGGGCCTAAGTTTCCTCATCTATAAAGTGAAGAGATTGGACTAGATGACATCTTATGTCCCTTTCAGCTCTGAATCTTTGCTTATGAAATCATAGCCCTGTAATGTTAATGACTTAATTCAGGCTTTGTGGGGAAGGACACTTGTGATCTATGACAATGTGATTCTGACATTGACTCTTCCAAAAACTTTAAACACCTTTTTATCAATATCACATGAATACCCTCAGGAGTCCTAGCGCTCACCCAGCCCTCACGTCTGGATTTAATCTTATGTCCAAAGTCCCTATCAGTCATTCACCAAATACTGAGTAGCTGCTCTGTGCTTAGCATTGTGCTGTGGGGCATACAAAGAAGTGTACAACTTATGAAAAGTGTAATAAAAATATAGGTATTAATTAGCAATTTGCTAACAACATGTAGGAGGTACAAGATGAATAATAACCTTACTTGAATAGTGCCTTTACAGTTTACAGAATACTTTCATGTAGGTCTCATTTATTCCTTATAACAACCTGTGAGTTAGATTATATTGTCTATGTTGAGGGTGAGGAAATGAATGCTCCAGTAGGTTCAGTGATTTGCCTAAGGTCACACAGATAGTTGGGCAAACTGAGATTAGAATCCATGCTTTCTGGCTTCTAATCTTGGACTTTCTACTCTAGCAGGCTTGTAGAGGAGCTACGCAGACAATAAATGCCCTTAGAGTTTAGAACCAAGAAAGATCACTGTTGGGCTGGGGGGTGGGGCTAGCCTTTCACAACACTGGTACGAAATACCCAAGCACTTTCATTCTTCAGATTTTACTCCAGCAGCCTTCTCCGTTGTGCTGCCTGTCACATGGTATGACCTCACTGACATTTGCTCTCTACCTCATTGCACTGCTTTACTCTCTGGGGATTTGAAAAGCCCTCACTGCACCCCCCCCCCCCCCCCCCCCCCTTTCTCCCGTTTGCCCCCCCTCCCCCCCGGGGGATTTGAAAACCCCCCCCCCCCCCCCCCCCCCCCAGCCCAGCCTTTTCTAGGGTGCTTGCCAGCTGGCCTCTGAATCAGTGAGCTTCCCAACTCCTCTTCCCAGCCTCTGGGTCACCCAAGATTAATGTGCATTTGTGGCTTTTAACAGACACTTGCTGCTTTCTCTCAGAGATGGGTGCAGGGTCTAGGATACTTAGAACTAAACAGCAACAGGGCATTGGTGATAATCTTCTTTCTGTTTTCCTTGACGTCAGAAGGCGGAGTGCTTATTAACTTTGGAAGCATACTCACAAGAGCAAAAGAAGAGGGTGTGTTGGTGCCTGTCTGAGAACATCGCCAAGCAGCAGCAGCCGGCAGCACCACCAGAGAACAAGGTAAGGATGCCTGAATGCATCCCCAAGCTGTCTCACCATTCACAGGGCAGTGCTAGGGTCTTAGTCACAGACTGGTAAGTACTTGATCTGACTGTGAAGTCCTTTGAACCCAGGGCATTGAGTTTGTAGGAGAACTGATCAGAGTCTTTGGGATTTATTTACATCTGCCAGACCAATCTCTGGCATAGATGCTTTCATTGTTTTTTCCCCTAAGTGTTTATTAGACAGCTGAAGGGGATTAGCTATGCTCACACAAGAAGTTTGAACCCACTATTCCCTAGTGGACCCAAAGTGGTAGGGACAATGTGGAAACAGTAGAACAGTTCTCTGTTCATCACTTACAGATTATCTGGGAAAGAGTTTAAACTGGGCTGATTCCCTTCCTTCCCACTCCTCTACCTCCACCCCCCCAAAAAAAAGCATATGTCTTCTCTCTTCCATCAGGTACTGCATACTCATTCATCCAACAGATATTTATGAGGATCCTTAGACATATTTTAATATGAAATATTAACCTAAGCCAAATGTGATTTGGAGAATTAATCTGTGGCAAAATAAATCACGTGATGTAGGTCAAAGATAAGCAAGGAAAAAAATGTAAGGATTAATGGTTGTTTTGGATCATCCTGCTTCACTTGATGATATGGATAATTATGGTTACATAGTAGATCAGATTTTTTCAGGACATTTGACTTGGAAAGGACAGGGTGCTGGGCCAGGGTCTGAATGCTATAGGAGATATTAATCTTGAAATATAGCCCCTACCTAGTCTGTTGAATAGTGTTATTTGTCCATGGTGTAATGAGTCTCTATCTCCTTTGGAGCAGCATCTCTTCCTCCTAAGAGTAGTATAGCACTCCTCCTCTCTATCTGATAGTATTTTACAGTGCTTCCTTTTCAGTGAGACCTGTATCTTAACAGGGTTTGAAGCCTTAAATGTAGGGATTTTATGCATCAGCTAGTGGGTGGTGGATGTTTTTTGTTTTTAACAGGAGTATCCTGTGACAAGTTATCAATGTAGGAAACCAGAGCCCTTAAGTTCTAATACAGTTTGTGCCTCAGATTTTTCTGGCAATCCTGGCTTTTTTGTCTATATCTACAAAAAAAATGACCATAGGAGGACACTTTTTTTTTTTTGCTTTTTTGGTGAGGCAGTTGGGGTTAAGTGACTTGCCCAGGGTCACACAGTTAGTAAGTGTCATGTGTCTGAGACTGGATTTGAACTCACATCCTCCTGACTCCAAGGCCAGAGCCCTATCTATTGCGCCACCTAGCTGCCCCGCAGGACACCTTTTTCAGGCTGGTGAAAAGCATCCTCTTAACTGACATACCTCAAAAACTACGGAGTGTTTACCCCTTCTCTTAAATCAGCCTTTTCTCATCTATTTCAAAATATGGCAACTAATTTTTAACTTGGCTTGTGCTGTTCAGAGAGTGACATTTCACCTAAGCTGGGATGGCAAATGGACAGCAGAATTCAATTGTGTGAAGAGACAAGATGGGTAAAGTACCCAAGAGTTCCACTGTCTCCCTCTTCCCATCCCCTTATCAATCCTTATTGCCCCAGTCCTAACAGGTTGTCCTTCTGGCCCCATTCTGAGCTGTTAGAGGCATATGACAACAGAACTGTGGTAAGCAAATGGGGGTATGATAATGAAGATATGACTACCTGGCAGGAGGCCTTGCCTAGAAGGTGACCATGGTTAGTGTTAACAGGTGGTGAAAAGAACTGTTCTTCAATTTCCTTGAGAGTTTCTTTTATGGAATTATAAAATCGTAAAATCTCAACATTGGAAGGAACCTAAAGGCCAGCTGGTGATGTAAGGAGTTAGGAGATTTATATTCTCGTCTCAGTTGTGCCACTATGACCTTAGGTAAGTCACTTCACTTTTGTGCTCTTAGTTTCTTCATAGATAACATGAGGGAGTTGAATTAGACAATTTCTAAGGTCCCTTTCAGTTTTGACCTTTTTTGATTCTGTGCAATGTCACTCTCATGTCATCTAGTCCAAGCTCTTACCCAGGGCAGGAATCCCTCCTACATCCAGGTGGTCATCAAACAACTATTTAGATACCCATAAAGGATTAGGACCCTACTATCTCTCATGATATCCTGCCCATTTGTTTGGAGATAGCTTTAAGTGTTCGAAAGTTCTCCCCTGTATTAAGCTGAAGTCCATAAACCTGTAACTTTCCACCCATTGGTCCTAATTCTTCCCTCCGGAGCCTCATGGGATAAGTCTGTCCCTTCTTCTATTTGATGACCTTTCAGATATTGGAAGCCAGTTATCATGTCACTTAGTCAATTAAATGAATAAACATTTATCAGGTTCCTATTATGTGTCAAGCACTGTGCTAGGTATTGGGGAAGCAAAGACAAAAAATGAAATAATTTTTACTCAGGGAGCTTGAACTTTTTTTGAGGGTGTTAACATGTACATATACAAGTATATATAGAATTAACATATACAGAATAAAGACAGGAGAAGTACAAGGTAATTAAATACAAATAGGGAGGAAGGATATTAGTAGTTTCAGGGATCAGAAAAAAATTCATATAGAATATGATGCTTGAGCTGTATTTTGAAGGAAATGAGGAATTCTCTGAGATGGAGGTGAGGAGGGAGTACATTGCAAGCATGGGGGATGGCCATTGAAAAAACATAGAGATTAGAGATGGAGTGCCATTTGTAAGGAACAGAGAGAAGGCCAGTTTAGTTGAATTTTGGAGTACAGGAAAGGGAACATCTGTAAAGGCAGCTTGGTGGTGCAGTGGATAGAGTGCTAGGCTTGGAATGAGGAAGACCTTAGTTCAAATCCAACCTCAAACACTTCCTAGCTGTGTGACTCTGGGCAAGTCACTTAAAACAGTTTATCTCAGTTTCTTCATCTGTAAAATGAGCTGGAAAAGGAAATGGCAAACCACTTCAGTGTTTTTGCCAAGAAAACCCCAAATGGGGTCATGAAGAGTCAGACACGACTGAAACAGCTGAACAACATATGTAATGAAGTAGGAAAGATAGGTTGGGGCCAGGTTGTAAAGAACTTTAATTGCCAAATAGAGGAAGTTATATTTTATCCTGAAGGCAATAGATAGCCACTGGAGTTATAGAGTAGAGGGGTGACATGTTGGATCTTAAGGAAAATCACTTTGGCAGCTATGTGGAGGATGTTTGGAGTGGGGAGAAATGAGGCAGGGAAACCAATTATGAAGCCATTGCAATGATTCAGGAGAGAGACAATGAAGGCCTGAGCTAAGGTGGTGGCTCTGTGAGTAAAGAGAAAAGGGTGTTGGGTACGGTTAGGTGGTGCAGCGGATAGAGCACTGGCCCTGGAGTCAGGAGAACCTGAGTTCAAATCGAGCCTCAGACACATAACACTCACTAGCTGTATAACTCTGGGCAAGTCACTTAACTCCAACTGCCTCACCAAATATATATATATATATATATATATATATATTTGAGTGATGTTTCATATATATATATATACATGTAGAGAGAGAGAGAGAGAGAGAGAGAGAGAGGGAGAGGGGTGTATGTGAGAAATATTATGGAAGTAGAAATGGCAAGATTTAGCAACTGATTGGATATTTGGTGTAAGGGAGGAGTTAAGGATAATGTTGAGATTGTGAATGTGGGAGCCTGGAAGAATGGTGGTGCCTTAAATAGAAACTGGAAATTTGATAGAAGAGTGGGGTTGAGGGGGTAGATAATAAGTTCTATTTTGGAACTGTTGAGTTTGAGATGGTTCTAATTTGAAATGTCTAAAAGACAGTTAATGAAGTGAAATTGGAGCTCAGGCAATAGAGAAGAGACTGGATGTATAGATCTTTGAAGCATCTGCACAAAGATGAGTTTTGAACTCAAACTAGCTTTTGAGCTAGGTGGTACAGGGATAGAATGCTGGGCCAGCAGTCAGGAAGACTCGTCTTCTTGAGTTCAAATCTGGCCTCAGACACTTATCAGCTGTGTGACCCTGGACAAGTCACTTAATCCTATTTGATTCAGTTTCTTCATTTGTAAAATGAGCTAGAGAAGGAAATGGCAAACCAAGAAAACCTGAAATAGGCTCATGAAGAGTTAGATATGATTGAATTGACCCAACAACAACAACAACAACAACAACAACAGCAAACCTTTGGAAGTTGATTAAGTCAACAAGAGAGAAAGTGTAGAGAGAGAGGAGGGTCCTGGAGAGAGCCTTGGGGGATTTAGGAGGGATGACACAGATGGTGGTCCAGCAAAGGAGACTGAGGAGTGGTTAGTTATACAGAGAGAAGGAGTACCAGGAAAAAATAGTGTCCCAGAAAACTCAGAGAAGAAAGAATATCCAGCTTGGTGATCAGCAGTGTCAGCAGATGTTGCCGAGAGGTCAATAAGGATGAGAGGAGTGGGAGAAGACCATCAGATTTGGCAATTAAAAGATTCATGGTAACTTTAAGGGGTGCACTTTCAGGTGAGTGATTAGGTCAGAAGCCAGATTGTAAAGGGTTGATGAGGGGAAATGGAAACAGTGAGTGAAGACAGCTTTTTCTAAGAATTTAATTGAGAAAGGGAGGAATGATATGGATTTTTGAGAGCTTGAAGGGATGATAGATCTAATGCAAGTTCTTTTTGTATGGGGTCATTTGGGTATGTTTGAAGATAGGAGGAAATGAACTAGTAGATAGGGAGTTTGAAAATTGGAGGTGGGAGGTGATTGAATTTGCATTTTGGTGGAGAAGACAGGAGGGAGAGGATCAAGAGCCCTTGTAGAAGGGTTGATCTTATGGAGGAGGAGGAGGATTGCTTCATTGTTAGAGACTGGAGGAAAGAACAAGTGATAATGTCAAGGGGATTGGGGATGAAGAAAAGGAGAGAAGAGGAAGCTCCTAGCCAATGGTCTCAATTTTCTTAGTAAGAGTCAGGGTCCTCAGTTGATAGGGTGACAGGCTTGAGGAAAGAAGGGAGGGTTTATAATAGCTTCTGTAGGGAGTAGGATAAGGAATCGGGGAGGAAT